AAATAACCAAAAAACCTCTATAAATTAATTCACATATATAGAGATGATCTCTTTAATAAAGTATAGCACAAGCACATCAGATGCACAAAGATACATTCATTAACACAAAAGGGGCCTTCATAAAGTTTGTGGTATTTAATTCCATTTTTCTTCTACCTTAATTCAAACTCCTTCCACTTGTACATACTGAAGCTTGTAAGATATCTTCAGGGAAAGCATTATTTTAATTGTTAAAACGATACATTAATTGTTAAAAGTGGTTCTAGAAAATGGGCTGGGAGCCAACCAGATCTAAGAAGAAATCCTTTTCACTCATATATCTTCCAAATCTACTTAAACTTTTATGATACTCTGTTCATAAGAAACAAAAGCTCAGTTCAGTAAATACAGATATACAGGTAGAATACTTGAGCGTTCTCATCCATAAAATTTCAGGAAAAAAGTATTTGCTACACATGTTTCACACACTTAATGATTTAAATAACCTTGGAAATATGTACATTCACTCTTTCAGAAAGTATTTTAATAAATAAAAATAAGCCTATCAATACAGTACACTGGTCTTGGCTTCTTCTTGGTGGCATTCATCTGAGAGCCAAGGCGCAAGCTGGCATAATCCCCTGAACCACTCCAGAGCACACATTCTCTAAGAATAGCTGAGAAAAAGAAGAAAAGACAAGACTACACAAAGTCTAGGGGCAACTTGAATAGGACACATGATACGAGGAGCATAAACTGAGAGAGAAGAGAGTTGATACTATGTGTCCAGAAGGGAAATTATTCACTCACTAAATGACTCATTCACTGAAGAGTTTTATCATAACAGGGATGATATATAAAGCAATTCTTTGCACCTATCAGATTATTCCTCCGAAATTCTCTCAGATTGTACCCACTCTTTCTTATCTCTTTCTTTGTGCCTGGTGGAGTCTAACTCTTGTAGTTTTCTCTCCATCTCCTTGTTCTCCAGCTCCAGCTGCACCTTCTCCATCCGCAGTTCTTGTGCATTTCTGAAGAAGTAAGATTCAGACACAACACAATTGTCCAGGATTAAAAAACTGTAGGGGTTAATATCACAATAAAATACAAATATGACATAATATTATATCATATTTCATCCTTAAAGTTAATTAAGAAATTATGAAATATTTCTAGTACTTTTTTGAAATGTGATTTTAACATTTGCCTTCAAACTAATTGAAGTATCCTTTAGAAACACTTTTATTTGTACTGTTTCATAGATACAGATTTCTATATCAACCCTCTCTTTATAGGTACACAACCGTGTGTGAAAAATATTTTCTAATTTTCATATCGTCTTTCCTCTGAAAGAACACAGCTCAAAGCACTGAAATAACTCTTTTTTTATGTATAGACAGAATACACATTTTCACTTAACTGATCATCTTAGAAACTTTAAAACAAATTTCTACCTTGGGGTCCTAGAGGTATAATGCACAAAATAAATCGTGGGGTCCAGTTGGGGAACAGAAACAGATTTGGGCATAGGAACCCTTAAAAGGAGATTGAACAGGAGTGGAGTTGAGTTCCACCTACTATTTTTCTCTGAAGAAAGGCAGTAAAAAGAAATTTGAGGACAGTATTGCTCAGGTTGCTAGAAGGTATTGAGTCCGTTCTGATTCATTGTGAGCCTATGCAAAAAAGAAGCAACTTACCCAGTCCAACACCATCCTCACCATGGCTCTGTTTGAGTTCATTGCTGCAGCCTCTATGTCAACCCATCTTCTTGAGGACCTTTCTCTTTTCATCTGCCGCTCCACTGTACCAAGCATGACCCGAAATCTCACCATCCCAGCCTCTCACAATCATGATGCATGCTCTCACACTTAACTAAGGGGTTAGACTAAAAAATAATGGAAATCAAAGAAGGGAACTGATAAATACAGGTGATGAGCAGCCACTGAAGGGCAGGTGGGCTGAAAATATATCTCCAAACAGGTTCAATCAAAGAAGATAACCAGAAAGTAACAGGAAGTAAAGACAATTCAGAAGCTTCAGGGAGGCATGAAAATATAGTTAGAGAAAAGCATTATATCGACTTGACAGGGAGCAATATAACCACTACTATGCCCATGCTTTATAATGGGTAAGAGGATACAAGAAACAATGAAGCTTCCAGTCTAGAGAGGAATGCAGACAAGCGTGATGGCGCTTGAAATATTGTGAGTGTAATGGTGCTCTCACTGGGAAGTACCAGAGCTACCTTACATAGGGGCCATATATCCCAGCCTCTTTGACCGCATGTGCAATACCTGGAGAGTCTGAGCTAAGAGCTAGAGGATGAAATGATTTAGTCAAAGGGAAGTAGGACTAGAAATGTTACAGCAAGAAAGAAAAGCACTTGTGGGAAAGAGTGATATGTGGCTTGAAAAGATGGTAAGAAAGTGAGTGACTGAGGTTAGAAAGGAGCCAGGTCATCCAAAGTTGTTTTAGCCATGATGCAAAATAGACCATTTGATCCTATGCATAAGGAAAAGCCATCAAAAGATTTCAAGAAAAATGATCATACTTGTATGTACTTTACTCTGACTTTTTATAGAAAATTAGTGTTTTCAAGGCTAGAAACAGGTAGCCAGTTAGAAAACAATATCAGTAATACAAATAATACAGGGATTATGTTGGTCTGACTGCTTACAAACAAGGAAGAGAAAAGTAGGAGCACCTGAAAAATGTGTGGAGATAGAATTAACTGGAAAAATAAACTAGCCAAAGTGGAAGCCAGATGAGAGAGGAGGCCAGGAAGAAAACGGAGACCAATACTAGGTTTTCTATTTGAGGAAACGGGAGACAAATGGTACCATTTTCTGCAGGACATCACATGGGGTGAGGGCATGTAGGGGACATAATTCAGGATTGGTCCCTCAGCAAGTCTCCCTGCCTGCGTACTTTCAACAACATCCCAACAGCCTACAGTACTGTCTACACAACATGCAAGGAAATAGCTCAGATGCAAATCTATGATTGTATCACTGCTGTGGTTACAAAAATTGAGCTCACCAATTAGGTGGAGAAGAGACTGAATAAAAGAGCTGGGTTAGGGACCAAATGGTCAGGTTTATGGGTTTATTCTATGTATCTAAAGCAAGTAAAATATTTCTCCTAGAGAAAGTCTTGGAAACAGAGCCAGTGAGCAGGCAAGCCTACTGAAGAAAGCAAGGGTTTATACTGAAAAGCCAATCCAATGAATGTAACTGAAATGGGCAGGGCAATGAAAGGAAGAATAGAGTACCAGGAGATCACAACTAAGCTAAGACATTGCCAAATGAAGGCAGGCATGAAACAAAGAAAGAGTACTTGAGGGAAGTTGTCAAAGACTGGGTATTCCTGAGCTGGTTTGTATGAATTTATGGGACATGGGTACTGATTTATGTCCTCCAAAGCTACCTAGCGCAGAGAATCAGAGTGTGACTTTGTGCTTTTGCCACCAATCTTTCCGAGTAGTGTATAAGAATGTTCTTAATATAATTTTCTTAAAGTTTATAGAAATTTACACAGACCTCTTGAAACATCACAGAGTGCATGCCCTTTAAAATAGTGCTGGCTCAGTTTCAGTTCCCACCAGCCCACCCACCGAAAAATCAGAGTGGTGGGCATCCATGCAGACAGGACAAGTAAAACTGCATGCCTCTGGGCAGCAGGATCTTGGCTTGCTCAATGGAATGCCTCCAGGCACTTCAGTGGAAAGTTTCTGGGTTGAGGTTTACAGCACAGGACTTTTATCTGTTACCAAAGAATTTGGTAACATTGCCTGAGCAGGAAAGAGGTCAAGGACCAGAGAGAGGTATCCGCATGTCTGGGAAGAAGTGGCTCTGATTGAAGAACAGTATCCTTTTGATTCTAAATTGTAATCTCTTAATTTCCCTAATAAATAGCAAAACCATGAGTATGGTCTAGGTTCTATGTGGCTTCTGCAATGCCTTATTGAACCGAAAAGAGCAGCCGCGAGTTCCATGGGCGGGGTGGCTGGTGTTCAAATTCATAAAGAAGCTTGGATGTTGAAGTCTTGTCTGGAGGCAGCATAACAGAAATCAGCCTTGTGCTGAACTGTTTGATTCTCCTTCCCCTTTGTGAAGTTAGAGGTGGTCAGGTGCCACCCCATGCCATTTTTACAGTGCTGCACCCCACAGCAATAACGCCATATATTTGTATAGCATTTTCCATTTTACACAGAGCTTTTCCACCAGTATCTCAGAGGTGAAGTGGGCAAAAGGGAAATCCTAAAGACACTGGGGAATGACAGGTGTATTGATCTGTTTCAGGCAACTCAGACAAGAAAATTAAAAATCGACAGCCTGTCCGTAGCCCAGGTTGGCTGGTCCTCCAACATTTAAGAGGGCAAAGCCTTAGGTATTGCAGAGACATTAGGTGATCTCAACAAGAAATTGTAGGTTGAACACTCGGGGACCCAGGCAATGCCATGAGATTCCCGGAAGACCAACATTTTTTTATGCTATGACTGAAGGTATCTTGTAACTAATCTAGGACATAATCACCTTGTATGGATTGAATTGTGCACCCCAAAAATATGCAGAGCAAGTCTAAACTCTTTCCATGCAGCTCTTGACACAGTAACTACATCAATTGGTTCAAACACAGCCACAATCAGGTGCATGACTAGGCAGTCATTTGTTCTGTTGTACAGGGGTCACTATGAATCAAAGCTCACCGGCTGGTCCCTAACAGCAACAGCAGCATATATGTAGATCTGATCTTCCTGGGAAGAGGGTTTTCCTTGTTATTTTAACGAGGCCATGTCAGTGTAGGTGTACCTTTTAGTCATTCTCTTTGGAGATATGAGAGAGTAGCTTCGGCGAGCAAGTCTGAATGCAGGACAATGGGTCACTGGAGACCTTCAAGGAAGGCTGAGAAAAACTGGGGCAAAGATTCTCACGGAGAGAAGACAGAAAGCACCTTCCGCAGCGCCTACACCCTGAATTCAGAGTCAGAGCTACGAAAAAATATTCCTGTTCACGAATGTCACCCATCTGTAGTACCTTCTGTGATAGCGATGCTAGAGAACTATGGCAGTATTCTTCCTTCAAAGTGAATTCCTCCTAATGCCCTTCTCCATGCAAAGCATTTCTTCTTCATTTAAAAGCCTCTTGCCCGAATTTCTCCTTAAGGATATGTCTTTCATTTTTTAATTTTGCAGGAAGTACATGAAAATCATTGTAACTTCCTGTTAGCCTTACCAAATATTTAATAAGTATGCCACTTTTATTTATGACTTTTCACTTTTGTTCTTTTTATTAACAAAATATTTTGTTCTTTTTATGAACAAATATTTCTTTCATATTTTAAATTATTATAGATATATACATATATTTCTATCATATTCAAAGCTTAATCTGTGAAGGATAAGAATATACACAATTGGTGTATGTACAGATTGTGATGAGTTGTATGAGCTCCTAATAAAATGATTAAAATAATTTTAAAAATTTTAAAAAGAATATAACAATGTAAAGAAAATAAATATAAGATTTCACAAAGCTTGAGTTCACCTCTAAAGAGAATAGCTTAAAACACAACATATACTGTAAATAGTGGACAATTGTTTCTATTTAAGCAATAAACATATATGTACTTACTTATATTTTAGCTTAACAGAATTTCCAGGTTTTCCCCATGGAAGAACTATAAAATCTCTTGTGTTCATGATTTGCCTCTCAATGTTGTCTTAAAAGTGCTGTGATTTGTAAAAACCTTCTGAAAAATATCCAAGATAAACAAAATAATTATGACAGAGGTAAATCAGTACAAGTTAAAAATTCAAATTACTTATAATTCAGGAAGCAGAAAGACAGCTTTATGGGGGAAAGGTTAAATCAAAGTTTCAAAGAAAGTATTATTTATGCTGAATATAAAAGTACAAACAAGTCCGTTGCCATTAAGTTGATTCTAATTCATTGTGACATTATAAGACTGAGTAGAACAGGCCAAGGCTATACATTCTTATTGACGCAGACTGCCACAACCCTCTCCACTGAGTGGCTGGTGAGTTTCACACTCCACCCTTTGAACTAACAATCAAGTCCTTGACCACTGTGCCACCAGAAGTCCTATGCCAAGTATTTATAGATCTTACAAGTGAGGATGGTGAGATTGTAGGTCACATACTTTAAACATGTTGCAGGAGAGACCAGACCCTGTAAAAGGGCACTATGCGTGACAGAGGGTCAGCAAGAGAGAGAGACCCTCAGTAAGATGGTCTGACACAATGACCCCAATAGTGAGCTTAAACATTGCAACAATTGTGAGGAGGGTGCAAGCGTGGGTAGTGTTTCCTCCTATTGTGGACAGAGTCACTATGAGTTTGTGTAGAAAACTCAATGGCACCCAACAAGAAGAAAAGTGGACACGATTCCTGAAGGGTTCAAATGGCTGAGTGTTTGGCAAATAGCCAAAAGGTTGGTGGTTCAAATTTGCCCAGGGGCCTTCAGATGAGAAACCTGGAGATCTATGTCTGAAAGACCACAGTCATGGAAAACCCTCTGCAGACAGTTCACCCCTGGCACATGTGGCTCATCATGAGCTGGATCTACGCAGCAGTAACTGGCAGGGGAAAAAAAAAAACTAAGCTAAAAAGGTACTAATAAAATATACCTTACAGGGCTGAAATTTCACCAATATTTATATGTGGCAAAAAGTTGGGAAAATATTCAACTGAGAGTGAAGACAGCACTCATTAAGACACGCGAAGCCACAGGGTCTGGGTCTTCCTATGGCTAAGGTTGCAAGGCATTTGATCCTCCTCAATATAGTTTCATGAAAAGGGCCTTAAAGATACAAACTAAATGCAAAAACCATTCATATATGAATAGAAAATGAGAATGAACGTATGCAATGACTGTCCAGAGGAATTCTAATGACCTCACTTATCAAAGAAAACTTTCATCACACTGTCTTTGACTAAGATCAGAAATGAGCGTATTTTAGAATGACTCACCAAGAAATGAAGCCAAAAAAAGGGTCCTCTCCTTAAATCTCAGTTATCTAGGAAAATAAATTATTTAGAACACCTTGATTCCAAAATATCCCATGGTTCTATGATAATTTACTGGGTAATAGTAAATTACTATATCATAAGCACAATATGAGATTTTTATAGGAATAAAATATCCAAATTCCAAAAGCCCTCAAAGAAATATAGAAAGCAATTATCATTGTAGCCATAGTCCATTTGATGCTGTCTGTTTATACATGTGCTCCTGTGGTGGTGTGAAATGGTTTAATAGGCCTCTTCTACACAAGTCTTCATTGTGTAAGCTTTCAGTATTTGAAAATGCTTCGCAGCTATGCATACAGTCTTCAACACAACTTCAGCCTAACTTTCTAGTCAACTCAGATTTAAGAAAATAAGCCTTGTTGACTCATCAGCACTTGCTGATGAAGATCAAGGATTTCAGCCTTCAGTATGGATTACACCTCAATGTAAGGAAGACCAAAATCCTCACAACTGGAACAATGGGTAACAACATGATGAATGCAGAAAAGGTTGCAGTTGTCAAGGATCTTGCCTCATTTAGATCCATAATCAGTGCTCACCGAAACAGCAATAAAGAGATCAAAAGACATATTGCATTTGGTATACCTGTTGCATCAAACCTCTTTAGAGTACTGAAGAGTAAGGATGTTTCTGTGCAGACTAAGGTGCACCTGACCTGAGCCATCGCATTCTAAAGTGCATTATATGCATGTGAAGGTTGGACATTGAATAAGGAAGACCAAAGAAGAATTGATGCATTTGAATTGTGGTGCTGGAGAAGAATATTGAAAGTACAGTGGATCACTAAAAGAACAAACCAATCTGTATTGGGAGAAAACCAATCTGTATTGGAAGAAGTAAGACGTGAGTGCTCCTTAGAGACAAGGCTGGCAAGAATTCATCTCACATGCTTTGGGCATGTTGTCAAGAGAGACCAGTCCTTGGAGGAGGACATCATGTTTGGTAAAGGGGAGGGGGGAGCAAAAAAAGGAGGAAGGGCCTCAAGGAGAAAGACTGACAATTCTGAGGATGGGGTGGATCAGGCAGTGTTTCATTCTGTTGTGCACAGGGTCACTATGGGTTGGAGCTGACTCAATGGCACCAAACAGCAGCAACAACAACAACAACCCAAGCCTCTGTAGCTCCCTCCAAATGACTCGTTGGGACTAAGCAGATAAGGTGTGTTTAACACCAACAGAGAGGGTGTATCAGTCTCAGTTGTCATTCCCCTATCTCAAAAGGGAGAGAGAGAAATGCCAAGACCATTTGTAGGTGAGCCCCAGGGTAACCTGTTAGAGAATTCTGTCTACATAGGGGAAGCCAAGACCAGACACAGCAGGAAACCAGGAGACACAAAAGGGAAGCAGCTCCAAGACTATGAGGATGGGAGAAGGAGCAGCCAGGCTGGCTGGCTTGCCACAGTGGCAGAGACCAAGGGACCACGAGGCTCAGAGGCTGAGACTAGAAACATACTTGACTCCTGGCTGAGAGAGGTGTTGCTGTGAACCACTGTATCCTTGCTGTTTACTAATCCTGGCTTGTAGTAACCTTTTAAGTCCCCTAATAAATCCCCCAAATTATGAGTATTTTCTGTGAGTTCTGTTTGGCCATTGAAAGGGAATCATCGATCCCAGCATAGAAGTAAACTGCCTTGGAAGAAATGGCTCTGTCCGAAAGTAAAGAGGGTGGAGGGTACAAGCATATCTGACCCCTGCCTCTTGGCAAATCAGGAAGCTGGAAGAGGTCAGATATGGCCATTTCCAAGCTGCTTACTGTAGTTCTTATGATAAATACTTATTCCCATCCTAATAAATATTGATTCAGATTCCGCTGTGTGAAGTACTATGCTGAGCACCATGGAGGAGTCAGGACCCCAATACATATGTATTGTGGGCGCAAATGGTTTTGTGAAATAGGTCATATTAGATTTATATACAAAACCATAATGCAAGATAGAAAGCATAAAGGCCATAAAATGTATAGATTTAATACTATAAGGAAGAAAGAATGTGTTGCTTACTAGCATTTAAGTGGGGCTTTGAAGGGTCAGGGAGATTTATATGAAGATATAGATAGCAGGAACATATCAGACTGTGGGAGAGCACTAGCCTTGAAAGTGGACTAACAACTAGTTCCATGTAGTTAATATGCAAGTTAATGCACCTATGCAAATTATGGGGAGAGAACAAGTAGGCCTAAGTCTAGAAATACAGCCCAGTGCCCAGTAAAAAGTAGTTTTAAATGCTAAATTGATCTATTTGAAATGCATTCTATAATGCATACAAAGCACTGAATGATTTAGAGAGAAATACTGAAAAATAATCTAGAAGTTTGTTCGATGACATAAGGGAGGGCAATGCCCAGATTAGAGTGGAGTAACCAAATGACAAGCTATTGTGACATCATTCTTTACAACTCAATGAGAGACCTGTGGGTAGCCATCACCTAATTGCAGTGATGCAACCATCCTCCAACCTTCAAAACGCCTTTGAAATGCTTCTTTGGGAACTTTAATCAGAGCCTGTCATAAATGTCACACACGTATCATTTTAAAACCTAAAAATGACACTGTCCAGCAGAAGCAATTAGGATGTTCCTTTAGCTTTAGCTCCACAGTATGTGTACTGGCTCCAGTCATTCAATACACCCTGGCAGGGTGGCTTGACCACTCTGAATGGAAATCTGAGTGTGTTTCTACAGTCTCTTAGGATAATTTTAAAATGGAATGATTAAAAATGCATTTTACTTACACGATGAACTAATTCTGGAATAGGAGGAAGTATACATATGTATCAATCAATAAACATGTACCTAACTATTGCTTTGTGTCCTCTATCCCTGGTGCTGAAGCTACACCAGCAGATAAGACATGACATGGCCTCCCAAATACCTCATAATACAGGGAGAAGCCATGTATGCAATTACAGTGGTCCATGGCATTCCTGTAGGAAAAACTGTCTCTGCGAGGGAGTTTCAGACTGATTCAGACTCATTTCTCAGGCATCAAGTGCTGTCTCTCAAAACTAGAACAAGTGGCACAGAGAAAGAAAACAGTATGGAGGATAGAAGAATAGGGTTTGGTTTGACTTTGGGGGCAGAGGAAGCAATAGTTTCAAATGGAACTCTCTTTCAATAATCATTTTAGTAAATCAAACTTTTGTTTCGTTTTTACCAAATAATGGCTATAAAAGCTACCCCCAAAAAATATCTTCATGGAAAAAAAACAAAACACTCCAGGAATTACCCTGCCTATTAACATGGGGGCTACACATATTTCATTCATAGTCAGGAAATATAACTGCTGTAGCCTCATCTGATGTAACATTTCCATGAAAATTCCAGTGCCATGAAATACATAGAGCAACAGAAACCCCAAAGACGATCTCGCTGATTAATTCAAAGAACTGAAATGGCCTTAGGTCCATTTACATGTTGATTGGCAAATATAATTGTATGTGTATACAAATAAACAATGACTATCTTACCTTTACAAAGAATGAAAGTCTGTAAATCCCATTAGACTGAGATGATTCAGATTTATAGCTCTGCTGATAATGCAATTTAACCTCTAAATGGTCTTATTCGGGGGCATTTAATTTCACTGAATGCAATTAGTAAGGTTTATTTTCAATTAAATGCTTTATCAAGTCACACACACAAGGCAATTTCCTTGTATGAAGACAAGAGAAAGATTATAATTGTGAGTCATGCAGTTCTGCCT